TTTAACCCAACAAAGAAAAATATGCAACATTATGGAAGGTTCTGAATGCCATTTCATGTTGACTTCAGGAAGAACCTGAACTGAAACTCGCCTGAATGTCAACAAAACCAGGATATGATGTGTCATTTTATGACCATATTATCATACACTAACATATATGAGCAATCTCATTCTTACATCTAGAGTGCTTCCGTCGGGGAGTGTGTATTGTGCTTTTTCAGTTTCTAGAGTTTCATCCTTCTGGGGGTTGAGGGAAAGGTAGCAGGCTCTCTGGAAAACAATACAGCATTTCTTCATCGTTTCGTATCTAGATGATCATTTCCACCAAGAAGGAGCTGCAAAGAACATGTCGTATAAATCCAGATGTGGTGTCTCATACCTCCTTGATGGTGCGCACGACCTCAAACTCTGCAGAAGTGTGGAAATCGTAGCCTTCCTTGCGTAGGAGGAGGCGGAGGTATCGGGAGACGTCACGTCCGGCGATGTCCACGCGCATGATGGAATGTGGAATGGCGAATCCCTCGTATATGGGGACAGCGTGTGTCACACCATCACCAGCGTCCAGGACCACACCTGTGGTTCGGCCTGTGGCGTATCTGTTAAGACAGGAAACATGTTTGCATGAGAGAGGGAAGAGGAAGTCTGATATCAGGAAGAATGAGATTCAAAGCAATGAACTCACAAACTGAGCACCGCCTGCATGGAGATGAACAGTGCCGGCACGTTGAAGGTCTCGAAGAAAACCTCAGCCGCCCGTTCACGGTTTTTAATGGGGTTCAGCGGTGCTTCGGTCAACAGTACAGGATGCTGTGAGAAACATCAAAAATATGAATGTCTGAAAAATACAGTGCAAGACAGTGTTGTTATTGTCAATTTAAACTATAAAAAAATTGTTTATGGTAACTGAAATGGTCACACTTTATTTTCAGGTGATGCTGCTACAGAAAATTACACAAATAACTACTAAATACGATTAATAAACTACATGTAGTCACAATAGGGTTATGGTTATTGTGAGGGATTGGTTTAGGGTTAAGTTACTACTGTAATTATGCATAATTTACTGTTATTATTACGGTAAGTACATGAAGCATGTAAAAATATCACCTTAAAATAAAGTGTTGCCAAACATTAATATGAGATCGAAAAAAATACACACAAAAATGTTTTATAATAATAAGAATTTAAAATGCTGCCTTGGAAACTAACTGAAATAAATAACTTTAGGTTAAAGTACTAATATTACTAAAACTGAAATAAAATGAATTTAAAGATAAATATAAAGATAAAAACTTATATATAAAATAAAAATAAATTGTATTACAAAATAAATAATTTTTAAATAATAGTAAATAAATACATAACATATTAAAATCTAAAACCGTACCTCCTCGGAGAAGGTCTGCAGCTGTTCCTTTGAGTAAACGTACTGCCAGATGCGCTCCATGTCATTCCAGTCTTTCACAATACCGTGTTCCATAGGATAACGGACAGACAGCAGCCCCCTGTGCTCCTGAATACAGAACCGAAATAAACAACACAGAATGTTTTTACATTATTATAACACATAAGAGCATGAAATCAAAACTATTTGTCCAAGTTATAATAACTTTTCTTTTGTATGACATACATAAAATATTATTAAACAATAACATCACAAGTTAACACACAAGATTATTTCTGGCTAAATATTGTGACGCATTATGAAAGTTGACCGTGTTGTGAATGTAATTTCATTTTGTCTTTAAATAGAAGAAAAAAATCCTAATAGAGACACATTCTTCAATTGAATTAAAAAGGTTTACCTCAGCTTTGGGTCCAATGAACAGATCACCCTCAAGGGCACCAGCCATCACCCGAACATGCTTGGGCCGCCCCACACTAGAAATAAACCATTCTAGTTATTACATCACATTCACAACACATTACGAAAATGGGATTTTCACTATCAAATGCCAGTATTAATAGAGACAAAATGCATAATATGATCATTTGACAAATTTGATGACGGCCAATATTTATCTTAAAATTGTTTAGCAAGTTTGGCAAGCATTTTTTATGTTTTTGAAAGAAGTCTCTTATGCTCACCAAGGCTGCATTTATTTCACCAAATACACAGTAAAAGCAGTACTATTGTTAAATATTATTGCAAATTAAAATAACTGTTTTATATTTGAATGTATTTTAAAGCAGCACTATGTAACTTTTGGCACTCTAGCGGTTAATAAACAGAACTGCACACATCCCACGGAAGAACATTCGAACCAGAGCTACTTCTCTAATTTATGTCTATGGCGATTCACGCAGGTATGTGTTACTCCGCAGCGGTGACGACCCGACCAGGCTATAATAGTCCAAATATAAGTACTTATTATAAGTGTACCGTAGTGATTCGGAATAAGACAAAAACGCGGTTTGGAAGATGAATTCATGATGTACTCGCTCATTATATACATTTAGCAAATTTTGAACACAGAAAAAGTTACATAGTGCTGCTTTAAAATGTAATTTATTCCTGTGATGCAAAGCTGAGTTTTCGAGAAGGGTATAACTGCAGCCCGGAGATCTCCAAATGGGGGGCGGGAACTCCAAAACGGGGTGGGAGCTCCAAAATAGGGCGTGGCTTCCTCCCATTGACTCCGCCCCACAGCTGATTCTAAAAATGTTATTGGTTGTCAATTAAAGGCTGATTTCCTACATTATGCTACAAAAAATGCTAACCCCTAAACCTACCCCACACCTGACCCTAACCTTAACCAGTGAAATTGACTGCACGGCGGGATTGGCGCTGATGATAGCGTGGTAAAGAAAGTTACAGTTCAGGAGATAAACAGTTAATAAGATTATAAGATATGAGATCATTCCGTAACTCCCCAACCGGACCTCACCGGACAATGGCAACTTTTTAGTTACACCCAGCATCACTACCCCCTCCTACCCTGCGAATTTCGAGCCCCGGGACGCCCCAGTTGCTTAGAAAAAAGCGATAGAGTAAAATCGTTCCCCTGCGCTGCCCTGGGACGCCTCGTGGGAGAGCTCGTGGGTGATTCCCGTTTATATCATTAAGCAGAGGTTCAAACACCACTGGCCTCGAGCTTTGGGCTCTGCTCTCACAGAGAATATTTATTTATACAGCATACTTTATTTTAGATGAACTAGAAACAATGTGACATTTATAAAGTTTTATTTTGAAATGTAAGTCAGTAACAATTGGCTGAAGCCAGAGCCAATGGTGAAAGTCTTTGTGCGAGGAGATCCCGCCCCATTTTGGAGGTTCTGCCCACTTTTGGAGGTTCTGCCCACTTTTGGAGTTCACGCCCCATTTTGGAGATCTCCGGTCTGCAGTTATACCTACTTGGAATTTTCAGCATCATTACTCCAGTCTTCAGTATCACATGATCACATGACCCTAAACTTTTGAAAGTTACTCCAATATAGTAATATCAATAAAATGGTTACTTACTAATTTGGGAAACAGTATTTAGGGATCTGATCTCCAGCAAAGCCAGCCTTAATAACGCCAGACCCCTGAAAGAGAAATTGTAAAGAAAGTTAAAAACGATATTATGGCCTACAATTGTCCAGGAGGGTGGTTCAAAATAAACCTGAACTATAAAAGCTCAGACAGTGAATGTGTTGTAAAATGAATCATCTAGTGATCTGATCCCTCCTTGTTTGTTCTAGAGTCATGAGACAGAGCTGGAGGGAGCTACAAGAAACCCAACCAGCTATAGACTCCAGAAGAGTCACACTGTTAGAAAACAACCTAATGTTTCACTAAACATCACTGGCATTTACTAAGTTTTCATCAATTTAGCAACCTGTCAAAGTGACATTCAGACTTTGAGATCTCCCACCTTAATTCTGATTAACAGCTGAGGCTTACTAGTTCTCCATCTATAGCTTAACTCTTTTGGCATTTATTAAAATAATTTTTTTAAACTTATATTAACTATTTCATACTAATAAATGCGGCTGTGTGTATATAAGGCGGGGTCACAGCCAGCCATCTTAGCAACAACAACTCCAGCTCAAATACAGGATTTTATCTGACACATATTCTTTGACAACCATGCATCTTGCAGTATTTCATTAATTTGTACAACGTTGAATCATTTATTGAAGTCTGAGAGACTCATTCAAAGCACCACTGAAGTGAATGACAAAATCAGCTTTACGGCGATGAATCATTCCGAGCAGCTAATGCTTCAAGATAACGCAGTTAAGACGGATATTACACTGTTCTGCTTTACATATCGAAAAGAATCAGACTGTGCGCATTATAATCTAAATAAATAAAATCCTAAACGCCTCTCATTTAGCATTGACACAATGGCATTAGCTTTAGCCTCTTAGCACAGACTGGGTGTGGAGGGCTGCTGACATCATACTCACATTATCAATCACAACCGGCTGGTTGGCTATAATATCATACGACTCCATGTTCAGCCTGCGCTTGGGTGCGTCAACTCGTTCGCAAGAAGCACCGTTTATGATTTTCTGTTCATGTAAACAAAAAATAACCGTCGCTGTTTAGCAGTATAACCACAGGCTGAGCGGTGATGCGTCAACCGAGCCGCACTGTTGGAGGGAGCCAATCAAACCCGCGTAACTAGGAGATGATTGACAGCTCATTTAGCCAATAGCCATTTGGTTCGCAGGCGCAGTTTGACAACCTCCTATGTTTGCGATGTTTGTTTATTTATTTTGAAAGTGTTTAATTTGATACATTTATTTATATGTTATGTTCAAATGTAATTAGAAAGATATGTCTTTAATTCGTTGTTTTTGTCAAGGAGCAAAAGAGTAGCAGAGAGGATCCTTTATTTTTATAGTCCAAAATCGAATTTGCATATTTAACAATTATCCAATACACTCAATTTCCTTTTTAGTTTCGTGCATGTATGCTCTTTCAACAAGTGAGACAATAATAAATAAAAATACACATCAAACGAGGCATTCTTGGACGTTTTAACAAGTTAGAGACATTTATTTTGACATACGGAAGTGGATTATCCGGAAGTTGTTCTTCATGAGGTTGATGTTCTGTCCTCCGAGAGATTGAAAGTGTCAAATCCGCCGGAGATCTAAACTGAACGCATATCAGAAACATTTACATCTACAAAACATCTTCAGGTGAGGATCTACATTTGGACTCGGTTAACAATGCTGTCTGAATGACAAGTTTCGGTGTGTTTATAAGCTGTTGAAACTTAATGCGAGTCATTCCATATGAAAATAGTGCTGAATTAAAACAGAATTTCAATTTTAATTTGTTAAGTGAGAAATGTCCACTGACATAACTTTCATACGTGACTGGGGCCTGATTAACAACTAAAAAACGCAATTATAATAAGAGAAAAACAGTTATTGTGCGTCTTTCATACAAAGACAGACGTTAGAAGAATAAATATAATATAATTGGCATGTTATGTATCATACCATGTCGTATACTGTAAATAAAAATTGTAGTGAATTATTTTATAATCCCTGTTAAATAAATGGTGCTGATCACCATATTATAAGACTAAACATATTATGCGTTTTACTCCCAATTATTTATTTCACTCACAGTAGAAATGTTATTGAATCAATGAACATTGTGATGTGATATATCCAACGTTTTTGTATTGAAGTACTGCATTCATGTCTAATGGACTGTATTAGCAGGTGTTGTACATTGAGCCTGCTCTGGCTCACTCATGGTTGAGCTGGAGAGCGTGGATCGAACCTGACACACAAGATGGCCTGTGCAGATGAACCTCCAGAGAAGTGAGTTTCTCCATTAGCTGTGAATCACAGGACTGCTTCGCAGAACTAATGGTCACTTATAATCTGTTGTCCGATGACAGGCACTGCTGGGTGTGTTTTGCTACGGAGAAGGAGGATCGAGCTGCAGAATGGGTCAGCCCGTGCCGGTGTAAGGGCTGCACCAAGTGGATCCATCAGTCTTGCTTACAGCGATGGCTTGATGAAAAACAGAAGGGAAACAGCGGAGGAGCCGTCAGCTGCCCACAATGTGGCACTGAATACCGGATAATGTTCCCCAAAATAGGTGAGTATTTGCACTTTACCTTGTTTTTTGTTTTTTTTAAGGGAAATGAACTGATACCTTTGTCCTCTTTTGTTGTATGTCTTGTCATGGATTCTCACATTATTGCATACTTATAATGTACCAAATATTTTGGATAATTAGCTCCTGATAAGAGTGTAGTACTCCCAGCTCTGCTCTTGCAGCAGTGTTGTTATTGTTAACGGAAACTATTAAAAATCATTTTTACTGACTGAAATTGCCATTGAAATTGAAATAAATTAAAATACAAATATTAGATCAAATATTTGCAACTAAAGGACATTTTTTCAAAAAAAAGTGTAAGTTAAAGTGAAGCTAAATGGAAATATAAAAAAGTACAAAAACTAATAAAAAAAAATTTTTTTTTTTTAATTTAATGAAGATTAAAAAATGTTGCTTTGGCAAATAACAAATAAAACTGAAGTACTAAAACTATTCAAACTAAAATGGAAATAAAAATAAATTGAAGCTATAGAAATATTAAAAAACAAAAATTAATCAAATGCAAAACATTTTTTAGAAATGTTAACTGAAATGAAATAAGTGCAAGTTGAAGTACTAAAATGATTAAGTAAAATTGAAATAAAAATAACTAAAGCTTAATAAAAATATAAAAAACTAAAACTAATAAATGCTAAAAAAACTCAAATAAAAATAACTTTAATCTACTAATAATAATATGAAAATACAGAAATACACTTAAAATAATAATAATTATATATATATATACACACACACTTCTGAATAAAAATATGAAGAAACCAAAAATTTATAAAAATAAAAAAAGGCAAAAGCACATAACAAAATGACTAAAATCTAAACTAAAATGTAAATATAAAAACAAAAGTTAGTATATAAATAATAATAAAATAAGTTTGCACTTGTTTTGTTTTACCATTTAAAATGATCATATATACAAATTAAAAACAAATTTATTAGCTCAGAAAATGTGACAAAAGTGCCCAGATTCTGCGTGGGCTTACTAATGACTAATATTCTGACATTCTGTTTAGCTGATATTCTGTTACTTTAATAGGGAAGTGTTAAGTGTGTGGTTTTGTCTCTCGTCCAGGGCCCCTGGTGTACTTCCTTCAGCAGGTCGACAGAGCTCTGTCCAGGGCCAGTCCTTTCGCCGCGGCTGGAGTCGTGGTGGGCACCGTCTACTGGTCGGCCGTCACTTACGGTGCCGTCACGGTTATGCAGGTGTGCTAAAGACAGGAGGTTGAGAGGAACTTAACTCTTCTTGGTTCTTTTGAACACATTTTTTTCTCTGTTTTCAGGTGGTGGGCCATAAGAAGGGTCTGGATGTGATGGAGCGTGCAGATCCTCTCTTCTTACTCATGGGTTTACCCACCATCCCCGTCATGCTAGTACTGGGGAAGATGATTCGCTGGGAGGATTACGTGGTGCGGCTTTGGCAACGACACTCATCTAAGTTTCAGATCTTCGGCGGGCTTGTACCTGGTATGACGGGGAAAACGGGGTTAAACTTGGCAATAGTTCATCCCAGTGTTGTTATTGGTAACTAAATCTAAAATAATCGAAAACGTTTAGTTTTCGTTTCATTAATTAATAAAAACAAATATCTTTAATAAATTGTAAAATAAAACTTTTTAATAAAACTTAAAAGGAAAAAAAAACTTATTATTAAAAATAAAAAATTGTTGCTTTGCCAACTGAAATAAGTTAAAGTACTGAAATTACTTAAACTGAAATAAAAATAAACTAAAGCTAAATATAATTGAAAAACGCAAACAAGCTAATAACGACAAATGCATAACAAAAAATGAATACAACTTAAACTAAAATTAAAATGAAAACTGAAATACATTTTTAAAAGCAAATTCATCAAGTACTGAATGTAATGTACTGTGAATAATTAAAAATAATAATAAAACAAAAACTAATAAATAAAAGCTAATAAAAATGACAAAAGTACACAACACTATCATTAAAACACTAAAGTAATAAATCACTAAATCTAATAAATATTCAAATGTTTATTATACTGTAATAGTATATAAATTAACCTAAAACTAAAATGAAATCTAAATAAAAAGTAAATAAAAACTAATAAAAATGACGAAAGCACTTATTGAAATGACTAAAATTAAAATGAAAACTAAAGGGAATTAGTTCATTGAAGTATTGAAATTACAAAAAATTAAATACAAATAAATTGAGCTAAATATAATTGTTTTTATACAAATTTTTTTATTGTTTTGCAAAAACTAATAAAAATGACAATCACATAACAGATTTATTAACTAAAATTACAATAAAGACTGAAGAAATTAAAACTATGCCATTTTTAATATGTATAATTTTGTGGTGGATAGCTCATTTTTTGGGTAAACTGTTTCTTTTAAACCATCTTAGCATTTATGATTCATTGTCAAAATCATACCGTAAGCCGATGCTATTAATAATGATATTAAAAGAGCATAATTTTTAAAGCAGAAAATCTCATTTGTTTGTGCAGGTATGGGCCGTCCTCTGCCCCGCATCCCAGTGGAGGGCAGTTACGGAGGAGACCATCTCTCTGTGTCTCGCACCCTGTGCGGCGCCCTCATCTTCCCCTCCATCGCCAACCTTGTGGGACGCCTCCTGTTCCACAGGGTCACGTCAAACCTGCAGCGCACCATCCTGGTGAGAGTCGAGAGCGTTGAGAGTTTACCATACATTAGGAAGTGTGAATCCTAACCCAGTTTTCCTCTTCTAGGGCGGCATAGCGTTTGTGGTGATCAAGGGAGTGCTGAAAGTATATTTCAAACAGCAGCAGTACCTCATCCAGGCCAACAGACACATTCTGAATTACCCAGAGCCCGAGGGACGAGCAGACGGCACTTTTGAGGACGACAATGAAGACAGTAGCAATGAATGAAGACGATGCACTTGAGGAAATCAACAAATGCACTGTAGTGTAGGATTCTAAGTATAAAGAAAGACATATTTACAGATGTTTAAAGACATAATTTCTCAGCTTCACGTGGCTCTAAATCAGCACAAACACATATTTGCTATGTGTTACCTAACTGCAAGGATGACTGAAATTCTTTCATCAGTGAGAAACGTTTGTTGGGGTGTTAAAGTGCCTGTAATAGCAAAATGCACCAGTAGATGGCGCCAAATGCACAGCTGGTACCTGCACTGTGCACTGCTGACTCTGATGAAGACATTGTCATTTAGGCTGCAAATGTACCAGCAGAATGAGAATGAGTCAATTGAGTCTGATTGAAGATGATAAGCACTGGCTCTTTAATGACAAATAAAGGATAATAAACCCAGAAACTTTGACTTTGATGCTTTTAAGATGGTGGTTTACAGTAATTGTTTTTGACCTGGAAAGAAACATCTAGACCATTTCACTGCAAAATGAAAGAAATAAGAAAAATATGAAATTACTGTATTTGGGTTTTTTCAATGGATATTAAATAGTTTTTTGCATTAAATCTGTGATATTGTTCATGATGATTAGGTGTATTTTCAGCCCAAATTCAAATTAATTGTTATGCACCTGTTTTTTGTTTGCTTTTTAAAAAAAAGTTATTTTCATTGTTTCTCATTATGTTAATGCAGAAGGCCTTCACTGTATTTAAAATAAAAATGTAATACCGGTAAATATTTAATTAGTGTAATACAATTTCAATTGTAGTAAAACTAGCATAAAGGCAGTACAATAAAAGTCATGATGTACTGAAATAAAATAGAAAATAAAATTCTAATTTGTCACAATCATGAGATTTTTGTCATGAAAATAATTTGACAATGCAACCAATCTTAATAGTCCTGAAAAAAAAATTTCTTTGTGTAACACTTATTTTTCTCTTTTGATTTTGTGGTCAAATATGACCTCCAGGTGCTGGACAGGTTTCATATTTGTCCAGATATGAAAACTGCTTTTGAAATAGGATGAAAATACTGAGTAAAGCTTATAATTGTCTGAGAAAGAATATTGATCTTTATAAACTTGCTCACCAATAGATGCTCTGCAGTGAATGGGTGCCGTCACAATGAGATTCCAAACAGCTGATAAAAACATCACAATAATCCACAAGACATCCACATCTTGTAAAGAAACATTTGTGAGTTTGTAAGAAATAAAACCATCAATGCGTTTTTAATTTCAAATTGTTGTTTCTGGCTACAATATTTTTCCATAGTGTTACTTTGTCCAGTGAAAAATTTGTCTTGTCTGAATCAGGAGAGAAATATGCACAGATCGAGCACCGTTTACAAGCAAAAACAGTTCTAAACAAATATGTGGGTGGATTTTGATGTGAGTGGACAACAGGGGATGGACTTTTTCCACTGGAGGAAGTGTTATTACCAGTGTTGGGGAAAGTTACTTTTAAAAGTAATGCATTACAATATTGCGTTACTCCCTAAAAAAGTAACTAATTATGGTACTTAGTTACTTTTTATGGAAAGTAATGCATTACATTACTTTTGAGTTACTTTCGCGATACTTTTTAAATATAAGCAGGGCTTGATTGTTTTTAATATAATAAGTTGTATTTATAGCATATGTAAAAGCCCTTTCACACCAAAAAGTGTAATGAATAAACCTCAGGCTGAAGCAAAAGTAAATTCACGTCTGTACAGTAGAACGCAGGAGAAGAAGGTTCAACACTCTTCAGCAATACAAAATAACAATGAAGCACAATTGTTAGTTTATCTAAAGTCATTTTTGCTTATTAGTATGGTTGAACTGGATCATCAAAGATCAGAAGCAAAGACATTGGTTAATAAAATGGGATTAGATACATTTGTGTTATTTAACATATTTAATTATTGCAAGTTTGCGTCATATTCTGAGTTTGCACTGTTTTAATTCATTTTGATGAATACTAAATCTGTTTTTTGTGAGTGGGATAAATTAATGCACATTCATATTTAGTCTAGAACTACAGTAACATTATGTTCACACAGCGCACACAACTCCTCTGTACTTGCGATTTCTCCCAATATGGGGACAGGAGAGCTGTCAGTCAATAAATAGGCAAACAAAGTATCTTAACTAACAAAGTTACTTTACTAGTTACTTGAAAAAAGTAATCTGATTACATAACTCGCATTACCCCCAACATTGGTTATTACTATAGACTGGTTTCGTACAAACAAACAACTTTTTGCTTCAGAAGATGTTAATTGATAGACTGGGGTTGTGTGAATTACTTGTGTATTGTGGTGTTTTTATCAGCTCTTTGGACTCTCATGCTCCTTCTCACGGCACCCATTCACTGCAGAGGATCCATTGGTGAGCAAGTGATGCAATCTCCAAATCTGTTTCGGTGAAGAAACAAACTCATATACATCTTGAATGAGTACATTTTCATTTTTGGATGAACTATACTTTTAAGAAACGAGTAATGACGTCTATCTTAAATAGAAGTGTTAATTATGTAGCCTAGTCATGGGGGGTGAGGTGGCGGGCATGATTTTCCCACTCCCCACTGGCGTGTTTGGCAGAGCCCTTCATTACCTGCTGTCAGCGAGCGGCATCACATCCTCTGTGCTCTCCGGCAGGCCCTTGGAAGGAATAGCAAAGACAAGGCTGAGGAATAATCTGGCCCGCGTCTGATCTCTTATTTTGAGAACGAGGGTGGAAAAAACTATGAATAATGCAAAAGTTTGCAGATGGTAAACGGCTGTCTGGGAGAAAATACAGCAATCACCTCACCCAAGATGACTTCATTTGGGTTTAAAAATAGCCGAACTGGAGCAGCGCTCAACTTAATTCACACGGCATCTAAAAACAGTCCTCTGGGATTGTTGTCGCCCACTTTTAAACATCTCTGGCAAATATAACTACGGCAGACAGGCTTTGTTGGAGCAGCCAAACGTACAGTGGAACGTAACAATGTTTGTGACACAGAAAATCCCACAATTCATCTGTCACTTAAAACATCCGACGTAATACTACGCACAAGCAAAAGTTTTCAATTAGTACTTCATTACAGAAAGTTGTAAATAAATGCCTTGATTTTAAAGCATCTTGGCCAAATATGAAATCAAAGGACTTTGATGGCTGAATCATAGATGCATTTACATATAAATGACATCCGAGATTCATGTCACGGCCTTCAAGCAGAACCCATTTTATATATAGGCTATTTTTAATGTTTTTAGTGGTCTGTCTTGATGCTCCAGATGAAAAGAAATGTACTTTGAGTCATATTGTGAAGTAATGAGCATAAAATAGTGTTGCAATATCATATGTAAAAAAAATAAAATAAGAGAAAAGGCAATTTCTGTGAAATATATAATGAGGCTGCGACTTCAGATTTACATCTTAAGTAAAAAACAACTAGAATGATAGACATAGCCTATATGTTACTTTACATTCACTTAGGTCTACAGAATGCCTATATGGAAATAGATAAACACAGCAGAACCAGAGAAAAAAAAGTGTTATCTAACCAATGGCTTATTATAACTGGGTCATTTTTGTTCTGCGATACCTTTTGTAATCTGTAACTGTAAGTATTTCCATAAAAGAGCATATCAATGTTTCAGAACATTGGTTAAAATTAGACATAAACTTTATGAATTATGACTTGGTAATTTACAAAAGAACAAGAATAACAGTATGGAAACACAGCATTAGCCAGTTAACCATTGTTCAAGGATTGGAAGCTAGCTTGCATAGGGATTGTATTATCTTTTCAAATTGATAGCACATTGATTTTTGTAATATCAAACAGAATAAAACATGAAACAAAACAACAAATACCAGGAAACATAACAGAATTCATCAAATCCATTGCTAATACTTACCGATTCTCAAAAACTGGTTTTCTCTCCAAAATAAAATCACTTCCTGGAGGATGATGTTTGTTAAGAGTCTAAATGGATGATTTAACCTCTGTTTACTTAACTGTGAAAACATGATTAAAAAAACTGTATATTTAATATTTCATCAATAAACCAGATGAAAATGTGCTGAATAGCTAAAGTAATGCCCTTAAACATCAAAGACTCAAAATGTGCTGCATTTGCAAGTAAATCTGATTGCAGAAAGACTATAGGGGAGATTCTGTCATATCAAGCTGTAGACATCAAAGCCGCCGGGCCTTTTTAGATGACGTTTGAATAAATATAATGCAAGAGGGACTCATTTTCGATTAGAGCAGCACAGATAACCCCTGGCGTGCTAATAAACTGCGGTGAGAATGATAAAACAGAGGAGATGGCAATCCCTCTGGACAAACGATGATTATCCGTTTCTATAATCTCAAAGCTCTCTTGCTGGTGCGTCCCCTGAGGCTTTGACCTACACATAAATGTACCCAACTGATGGAGGATTGTCTTGAAACACTTCACTTTCAGATATTGTTGGTGACGTGCTGGAAATCAATGGCAATTTAAAATAAGTGCATCTTATCAAGAATGAGAAAACAAGGTTAGGCAAAAAGCTTTTATCTGTGTGCCACACGTTTCATCTCCTCTGATAAGAAAACCGCGGCAGCAGTGAAAAGAAATGGGCCACGTGAGACAACAAATCAAGCGACCTGAGATTTGACCTCCGAACAGAACTTGACCTGGACTCCGTTCACGGAAGAATGGATGTGATTTTAGCACCTGGGATGTCATGTCACAGACAGCACGCTGAAGAGCGGCATGATCTGGCATAATAAAACCGCTCTCTGTGACAAAATGCAAGATGTCCTTTTGACCAATGAACTTCCATGACCTTATATGTTTTTTTCCAGTTGTCTATGATTACAAGGATTTAAAAAGAACAAGAACATGTTAAGATCACATTTCACCCAAAAATCAAAGGGAAAAAAAAAAGTTTCTCCCTGAGGAAGACAAATTTTTCTTAACTTTGTGAGACTCTCTTATACATTACAGTTATTAGACAGTAAATATATAACACCCAATGTATCAAAATTTAGATTTAATTTTAATCACCTTCCCCTGACTTTTAATAATTGCTATGACCTTTATAGACAAACATACTTGTAGATTAAACAGAGTTTTGGCGCCAGCAATGCTGAAGTCATGGGTTCAGTTCTTAAGGAATGCATGAGCTGATAAAATAAATACCTTGAATGCAAAGTCACTGTAAAATGAACATCCCAATTTTAATATTCCCTATGTTTTTCAACACCCCAGGAAGGCAGTAAAACATTTTCACTCACAGCATTTAAGTTGTTGCCATTTTAAATCTACAAGTCAGGCAAATTGCCTCTCAAATGGCAATGTGCTTTCCAAAGAGTCAAACTTGACTAAACTGACTACCTTGATGGACATCAAAAGGGTAATGCCTGGGGTGGAACAT